ATGAAAGGCGTCATGATTCTAATGACACTTTCAAAGAAAGAATTGAAAGAATTCTTTGATACCTTTAATGTTTGGTTGGTAACACTTCAAAATACGAGACTCCACGTATTACTGCTTTATTACTGAAACACAGCTTCTAGAATGGTAGTAAATGTAGAACTCCTTATTACAGAACCATGAAAAGCAATTCTGAAATAATTATTCATTAATAACAAAATGTAATAATACAGTACCTATCATTCCTTTACACAAGAGCTGGCCATCTTTTCTTAATTGCCAGTATGTCATTCATAAAGAACTAACACAAAGCTTCCAGGTAAACCTTATTCTAAAGTGTTGTAATTATTCACACTGAATGGAAACTACTGTGCAAACCCCAACATACCAGCAACCAGCTGATTGTTGGTATGACAGTGACTGTAGGCTGAACTTCCCTATTTTGCTTCTCAGTCTCTAAAATCCTCTGAAGCAGCCTTTACACACAGAAGCTTTACACACAGAAAAGATGATTGGCCTTAAAAGATGCATCTACTTTTTCCAAAACCTATGGTATGTATAATTTTATTTTAAAAGAGTCTTTAAAAGATAAGAAAAGCTGTAAGAGACGAGCATTAACACTCCCTAAAGAAAAATATTTTTCTCCGCCTCTAATTTCTTTATTAAAATCCTGTGATTTTGCAATTTCCTAGTCCTTCCTTTAATACAATACATTAAATCATTATGGCAGGTTATACAAGACTTTCTTTATTTTAAACAAAATTCATTGTGGCAAACATCTTTTTTTTGCTTTTTCACAAATAATCTTGATGAATAATATAATATATATTATAATATATAATATAATAATCGGTTTATAATAAATGAAACTGGAAAAAATTACTATAATTCTTAACTTGTTTATAAGGTATGAAACAGTGTTCATCCAACAAAGCCTGTTTGAGAATCTAACTTCTACAGTCTCTGTTTATGTTTATACACTGTCTTTAAATGACAAAGGCATGTTGAGCATTTGTCTAGTCTGTGTGGTGAATGATTTTGGGAAATCCATGAAAACACTAAACTAGATCAAGAAGATGTGTTCTGAGACCAGTTGAAGGAGACCAAGATTTGGTTGCAGCATACAGTAGAGCCCCAAAAAGCTTGCCTTAAATGTTTCGGTGGAAAACGTGTGAATTAACCAGGTTGACTCACTTTGCTTTCCTTCAGTAAAGCTCTGTTCTTTCCACAAATTGATCTTGAGCTGGTCCTCAGCAGAACCACAATGGGAAGTTTAACTTAAATATAGTCAATCTAGAAATATTTTCATCTGGGAAAACACAGTAACTGAAACACCCATATTGTTTTTCAGGGTTTGTCGGAGAGCAGTTACCACCATAAAAACCACCCTGGAATTTTGCTGGAATGCTTATACCAAGCCTAAACCTGATAGCTGTACAGAGGGTCTGACATTGCTGTTATTATGCTTCATTATTGCTGTGGCAACAGGTGGTCTCTTCTTCCAGTGGCTGTCTAAAACCTTACAATATGGCCTCTGTGCTTCCAGTGTAACAACATGGATATATAGCACAGCCATCTTCCTTGTCCTGTCACTCGTTCACCCTGCCCGCTGTGTGTTTACTGTAATATTGCCCTGTTTGGGCACCAAGAAAGGCCGCAGATTAATCATCTCCACCTCCATCATGCTCTTGGTCCTCAATGTTATCCCCAATATCGCCAGGAACGTTAATGTCATCGCGCGCATTTTGAGATGCACTTCCGTCGCCCTCACAGAGAGCCTCATCAACTCCTCGCAGCTGGTGAACGAAGCCAAAGAAGAGCTCATCCAAAGGATCATCCAGGCCAGGAAAAATGAAATCACGTTCGTAAAGAGCCTGACACATTTTGACACTCGCACAAGGATTAATGTGTCTGAGGTCCAGCAGCAGTTCAATCTTGTGAGCCAGAAGATTGAAGGCGACTTTTCCTGGGTTAAAATGTTGGTCGAGGAAACCCTCCTCCAGGCTAATAGGCTCCTCGCTGCCATGTTTGTCATTTGCCTGGTAACCAGTTCAACCTGGTACCTGAAAGCGTATCTGACGGATGTGAGGTTTGACAATGTCTACATCACCAGGCAGCTGGAGCGGTTGGCACGACGGAACGGGATAGAGATATTACCCGGCGATGCTAAAAAACTCATCAGCTCCAGAGGCTGCAGAATGTCCCAACAGGAATTCCTGAGATGTGTTCCCTATCTGCTGGTGATCACTTCATATTTAATCCTCACTCTCGTGGTCATTGCTGTAGATCACATGGTTTTTCACTTCATTGTTGCCGGTGGGCTCTGGTTATCAGGCGATCCATATGTGACAGCCACCATCGATGTAAAGTACACAGTAAGTAAGCAGCCATTTTGTCTCAACCATTGATTTCCACAAAAAAATGAGACTGAATTATTTTCTGCAAAATTCAATACAAAAGAGCAGTGTTGGAAGCTGGAAGCAAGCATAAAACTGGCTTAGAATGAGGCTCAAAACAGCAAAATTGATGTACCGCAATCAGTACAAGACGTTTCTCGAATCATATCAAAGAGATATTAAACAACAATGTGAAACAGTCCAAGTAAGGTATTCAGGTATTAAGCAGAACAAAAAGGATAATTGATTTGTCTCTTCTGAATCAGACAAATAAATGTTAGGGGGATACAGGGTGTCCAGCATACCAGTAGTTCAAGGCCAAACTCTGCTACAGAAACATCCACTACAATATGGTGAAGTGGATAGATTTCCTTCAACTGCTCTTTCTGTCTTCTTGAAGTCCATTGATGGTTCATGAAATCATAAGCACATTGAATTCAAAAAGACTTTAAACAGGGGGAAACAGAACGGGGACCAAACATACTTCTTTATATACCAACTGAAAGAATGAGAACATCGAAGCTTTATGTTTTTTAATGTCACTAATAACACCCTGATGCACGCATTACACCCACCATGGTACTGCTAAAAAGAAATGACTTCAGCCTCTGGCTCATGCTGATAGATTGTCTCTAGTTTTTTGGGGGAGAAAAATGTATGATCTGAGCTGTATAGTAGGTTGAATGTTTTTTTCTGCTTTTCTATGGCAGGTTCGGAGGATTACACCGATCTGCAGCTTATTTCACTCAAGTTGTGATGAGGAGATCTTACGTCATCAGAAGCCATATCACTGGAGTTTCAACCTGGTGCCTGGGCGCTGTGTCATAGAGCCATCCAAACCGGACAGCGGTGTGGTCCTACAGCTCGGGCTCCTATACCTGATGGCCTACATCCTGGTGGTCTTCGAGGTCTACATCCGACGGGTTCGCCGGAGAGTCTCGGCGTCCTTCTTCAAGAGGCAGGAGGAAAGGAGAATCGTTTTCCTTTATCGAAAAATAGTGGCCAAGCAGGAGAAGAAGAGGACTGGTGTTTTTTTTGTGAAAGTCTCTGAGGGGAAAGCGTAGCCTGACCAGTGCTTCAAACTTTAAAAAGGGCCATTCTGAAACTGGAAAAAAAACAACAACGATAAGTTCCAGGATTGCAATAACAATATCATTATTTTTTTAATAAAAAAATTTTGAAGCTGCCAGTATGATCAGATTCCAATTTTACCTTGAAAATATTGAAAGCACTTTAAAGGTATATTTAAATTAGCATCCAAGTAAGTAACCTGGGTTATTTCGATAAATTGTGCAATATCAAAGGGAGTATTTTATTGCTCCTTCGAAACACAATCATACAGTAAGACCATACAGTGGTCCAGACCATAAGTATCCATAGATCCCTGGCAAGCACAACATGCTGTAATTGTTTTCATTAATAGTAACACCAATAAGGGACAAATACAAACTGCAAACAAAATATCAAAGTGCTGAAGTGTCTTTGTCACCATATCAAACTTTATTTCTTCTGTTGATTTTTGAATAAAAGTGAGGCAGCAACTCCCTTGTATTTCAATATTCCACAGTTCCAAAAAAAATGTGGTCCTTCTCAATGTTATGATAAAAACAAGGACACTTCCCTTAAGACGCTACCAAAATGCTAATTAACTGAAGTGACTAAGAGATGTGACAATAACACTAGAAAAGAAACAGGAGCTGAACTCTTGAAACCGGAACAGAAAGAAACATTCACAGCGTGTCTTAAGACGCTACCAAAATGCTAATTAACTGAAGTGACTAAGAGATGTGACAATAACACTAGAAAAGAAACAGGAGCTGAACTCTTGAAACCAGAACAGAAGGAAACATTCACAGCGTGTCTTGATCACAGATATGAAACTTACAGACCCAGAAAAGAGGGCAGCCAGCACATTCTCTATAGATGAATGAAAAGCAGCGAGCTAATCACCAGTAGTCAGTTAACTCCACATTGCTTCACCCGGTCAAGATTTCACCCACTACGTAAATATTTGTCGATGATTAAGTCTTTCACAAGCGCCAAAAAAAAAACGTTTTATGTTTTACGTTTTAACGTAGATAAAAGAAAAGTCCAAAGAAACACTAACAAACACAGAAGCAAATGATAGTCCAGCTTCAATATCACTTGAAGTAAGTCACACACGTTCATTTGGACCTTAATATCCGTGTGGGCTTAAGAGGAAAAGACCCTGACCACTCTTGCTGGCTGGACACGATTGAACAAAAGAAGCTTGTGATTTTTATGTGAACGGATTCTTGGAAAGAATGAATGCAGCCCTATTGTGTTCTGTCAGACTGGGACTATAGATCAGTGCTGAAAGTTTGTGTCTGAAGGAGTGACACAATCTGATTAAGCACAGCCACTCTCTCACGTGGATGAAAAGGGTTTATTGGATTTTAAAAACTTTCAGTGCTTAAGAAACATTCTTTATAGCTCTCAGGTGACCTCTGGCGTACAAGTCAAACATTGCAAGTTGTTAACTAGTGACCACAGAGTGTGGGACTGTCCAGTCCTTGTCCTTGTTACAACAGCTTCTGCTACTTTTCAGCTGGACGTTTGGGTGCCTAACCAAGCTAAGAATGGGATTGATTAGACTTTATTGATTTAGCATTTATTTTTCCAGCTACTGAATGCTGTGAGTAAAATTATTTTGAGTAAAACATTTTGAAATGTCTAATTAGAATTTCTACGGAAATTTCAAAGGAAGTCTTTGGCTAGGGTTATACTCTGTTCGTACAAGCTGTGAATGAAACTTTTCCCCCATTTTATGATTTAGCAATCTATTTTAAGATGCTCTTATGCAGCTGAACAGCTTTCCTAATACAAGGAGACTGAGATCATGATTACCATCATATGATGGCTTCCTTAACAATGTCTGTGTCACAGCTTTAAACAGGAGACAGACGTACAGTAGTATTGCGAAGATTGATACTATCTTGATAAAAAATGAGAATTGAAATGCTTTTAACATCATAATAAAAAGTTTTACTGGGTGTGGAAATGCCAAGAACCTGTGGAGTTCTTGTTGTTGTCAAGTGCTCTGCTTCACTTTAACTGCCACAAGAGGACAGCAAAGGCTCATTTACAGAATTAAAAGAGCCAGACAATGTCACACTATGAGTTAAGTGCCATCATGGATGACGGAAATCTAGAAACATTTTTCATATTTCTGTCCATCTATTTTCTAACTCCTTGGTCCAAGGGTAACATGAGATAATTCAAATAATATATATATATAACACATATTTAAATATAGTTCAGGTGGGTAGCTGCATCAGCATACGTGGGCTGCAGAGGAACAAGTAAAAGGTTAATTTCTCTGAAAAGAGAAGAGAGAAAACAAAACGTTTTGGCTGTGAAGCCTTCTTCAAGAAGGCTCCACGGCCGAAAATGTTGTTTTTTCGCTCTTCATATTTCAATAAATAAATATAATAAAGAATTTTCATGTATATGAAAAGTGATGGCAGTTCTCCTCTTGTTCATGTGGGTTTCCTCTGGGTGCTCTTGTTTCCTCCCACAGTCCAAAGACATACTGGTAGGTTAATTGGTTTCTGGGAAAACTGACCCTACGTATGTCTGTGTGTATACTGTTTTGCAATGGTGTCCTCACCAGGATGTACCCTGCTTTGCACCCATTGCTTGCCAGGATAGACTCTGGTTCCAGTGCAGACCACTGTGTGAAAGCCTGTGCAATACTGCTGCTTAGAAGCTCTGTAGAGTTACTGGGCCTCACCAAGACATTTTCTAGGGTTAGGCAAAGACTACTCTGCGGACTAAAGTGTTAGTGTAGAGTGCACCCCTACACAATCTGGATTGATGATCACTTTGGGGCAGCTCCCACAAGCTGCATCTCTAACAGGCTGTGTTGTCTTGGCTGCTGCTTTCACATTTCCCATCCTCCTCCATTAATTGCTCTCACAGGGTAAACTGGAGGTCTGCCCTGTTCTGAAGGAGGTTTTCCAGCAGACGTAGATGGCCGCAATTGTGAAGTTCAGAATGAACTACAGATACAATGACGTAGATGTTAAGGTTGAAACTTGTTATAAATGCATAAATTAAAGAATGTTCATATACCTGTAAATTGACTCATAGTCATGCTTGTTTATAGAAGGTTATGATCCATTGAATATCAGGATTTCTTTTCCACATTGTCATTTTAATCATCAACACAGTTATTAGTTCTATCATTCATATTAATCTATTTTTAAAAAGAAACCAAATGCATCTGTTTTTAGATTTGGTGAATGTCGAGTTATTTAAGAATTGTTCTACGTCCGAAACTGAGAGTTTGTTTAGAAATTGTCACGATTGTAGTCCCTCCCCCTCAAGGGCGCTCCGGCTCTTTCACTTATACGTTGATTTTGTGCACCTGCTCCATGTTCCTGTTTCCCTATAAGAGCCAGAAACACACTCTGTCCCGGGCTCTGCATTGGTTTCAGTACGAAGGGAGTCTGGGACCAGTAGCGTCTGGTCCCATTCCCCCTTTTTCCCCCCCGACCCTCCACCGGATCCCGCTCCCTGTTTAATCCTGTTTGTCCTCGTCTCGGATGGACCGCCCGGCTTTGGACTTTTTGCCTTTGTCTTGGATTTCTGGCCCAGACTCACTCCGCCGAACACCAGCGCACCATGGACACGCCCCCTGTTTTCATTCCCGACTCCTGCATGCTTTTTTCCCCGTGTTTTCCTCACTCATCCCCAGATTGTGTCATCTGCATAGGGTCCTGAAAGAACCCTTTCGTACAGAAATCTCAGATGTTGTACCAGACACTTTTTCTTTTTCCAATTTTTCTCTTAATTAATAAGAGCTCAAAGTGTTTTATATAAAGGAAGGAACCACTGAAGTCCCTAACCCTTAATCATCTGGGATTAGGCACAAAATCATTGTCATGATTTTACAATGTAATACTGTAGTTGGGTCACATAAAATAAAGTCAGTTGGAAGAAGAAGATCTCTAATATTTCAAATTGCTGCCAGAAACCATTTTAGATCATGTGCTGTTCTCTTTTCAACTCCATACTGTACAGTACCAGGGTGGAAGTTGGGTTTTTCAAATCTTTTTCTCCAAGGCCAAAACAAAGAATGCCTGGGAGAGTTCTCAGAGTGACACTGTCCTCACTTCCTTTTCCTAAGATAAAAATCGGTGTATGCAGACAAACTCTGATTTTGCATGAAATAAAATGTGTATTAGAGGATGCTATGCTTTGCAAAAGCTTTAGTTGAGCACAGTCTGCCTCTGATTGTAAAACACTCATTTGAACCTCAGCCACTAGGTGGAAGGATTGAACAAGAAACAAAGGCAAAGCAGTCCAGTGCTGAACTGCTTTACTGAGACAGACTCCTTTTTCTCTTGGGTCACTATCAGGACAAAATATTTCCTGTTCTTCTTGTTTTAAGGTTGGAAGTTGGTATTTGGTTGTTAATGATTACACCTTTGTGGCACGTGTAGTGCAACCTTAAAAAACAACACTTGTTTTCATCACTGAAAAGAAATCGAGAAAGTCATTTTGGATCATTCCAGATAAATCATTTCTTATTTTTAAGTGTCACCTAAACCTTTTGGAAGCAGATATCCTGGCCGCATGACTACAGATGAGGTCTTAAACCAGCGGTGTAGCATTTAGCTGGGAAAATCCCATTAAAACAGGAACACAGATCAACAGCAGAGGCCCCCAGTTCTGAAAAATCCCACAGAGAAATTAAGTCTTAAACTTCAGTCTACATTCTGTATGCAACTGTACATGTGGCTTGTCCTTTTAGAGAACACTGTTTTACCAATCAGGGAACTAGTACAGAATTTAGCATATTTAAAAGATGCCAGGGGGCAAAGAAGACTTCTGTGTCAAACAGAAGTAATATTTCTCAGAGCTCCAGAAAAGTTATTGCTAATTAACTCTTTACCACAGAAGAAATGGAGAGACTCCACACATTCTGGTATGTATCTTTTTGAGAGTCAGGTTTGATCCTTAAAAATCAGATACTTTTTCACACTAAAAATCAAACACAAAATCAGAAATCCAGGTTTTATTGTTTTAATGTTTATTTTCAAATTTGTGATACCACTACTAACAAGCTGCTGCTTTCTATAGAATCGTTCATGGTACGGTACATTATATCAAAGGCAAATTAATGCTCTATTCAGTTAAAGTCTTTAACTCATCAACCTTTCTCATTTATCACTGAGATTATTCAGTCTTCCTCTACATGCTAAGTAACTCAACTGATGTAGGGTTTGGATTTAAAGGGTTGTAAATATAACACAAATAGATATTACTTGTGGACTTCTATGTTGTTTCGTTTTAGCCAACAAAAAGGTTCTTGTTTGGCATGCCACAGTTAATAAGGCTCTGAAAGATAAACTCTCCAAACCTGTTTCAGCTGCATAAAAGAACAATGTATTTCTCTTGTGAGGTTTATGCATTGACATTGCACTCTCAATTGTAGAATTTCTTTTACTCAATGATTTATTCTGTTACCTAGTAAAAATAAATGTCATATATATATAGATTATAATATAAGTTATATTGTCACAAATGAGAGGTTATGAAAACAGTGCAAATCAGGAACTGACCGAGCGGTTTAGTCAATAAGTAAAATAAATATTCCTAAACCCCAGCTTGTTTTTACCAGAATATACCCGAGCGGTTGGTATATACAGGCACCTGAATTCTATATTCTCTGACACAGTTTTGGTGAAAAGTGTAATATCCCAGGCACAACAGCTGTTTATTAACGATGACAAGACATACTGTACAGTACACTGCACGCACCAAAACATACAACACACAAGTTACTATGTTTAGCTTTTGCAGTATGTACAAACAAGGCGTTTTAGAGGCTTAACGTTCTAATCACCCAGACAAAAAAGAACCAGACTTCTACTAAGTATTAAACTCTGAAATAATACGTTTAGAGGCCAAATAAGAGATAAGCTGCCATTATAATAAATCGAATACAACCTGCAGATAAATCTCAGACCCGGGTGCCACAAAATAAATGGGAGGCTATCTCTCTATTCCAAAAATGCAGCCCTAACCAGGAAACATGTCTCCAACTGAGGTTAGAGATCTTTTACCCAGGAAACGTTCTCTAAAGTTCTCTAAAACTACAGAATAGCAAGCTAGCAAGGGTCAGATACTTAGCTCCAGTCAGGTTTGGTTTGGATGGTCTCACCTTCTCTCTCCCCTCTTTTCTCTTTGTTTCTACCTGTACTTGTCTTTCTTCTTCACTTTTCCTCTTCTCTGTGATCTTAATGCGATCTTATATTGTGTGTTTCTGGACTGCTCATGGACAATCCTTAACCCACAACTTAATTAACTAGGTATACCAACCTAAACTTTACAATTGTTCCTGATCAGCAAACATCCCCTCTACTTTGAAGCTGGAAGTGTCTTAAAGACATTTCCTAGACTCCTAAAGCTGTAACAATATATATATATAATACTTAGAGCATTATATGGCTGCCATCCACAGCTTACTTTGAAGTCAAAATGCATATGTTGCACACAAAATATTTTTTTTAGCAAATTTTATTTCTGTAGTTAAAAATCCAAACTTAGAAAAATATATTTCTAACATTATTTGTTAATTTTCTTTCAATGCTAAATGAAAATATTTCTACTTTGACAAGGATAAAGAAAATAATAGGTAGACAAGGCAATCATTTTTCAATGATGTAGATAAAGAAGACAAGAAGACAACAATATGGCAATGTTTGACTATTGCAGATTCCCTCATTCCATGCAACTTGTTGTTGTTTTATGCAACGCTGTAATTTCAATGTCCCTTTGTTTTGAATCACTCATCCTCCTGCAAATATCAGTAAAAATACCTTTTTCTGCATACATTATTGCTTATTGGAACACATGACTTATTAATCTTTAATGCTATTGTATATACACGATGTACTGTATATAATGATATAGTGTATTATGGAAATACTGTAATACTTTTTTTGTTATAATATAAAAGGTTTCATTTTTTCTCTCCTGCAGGTCATTATTGCTCAGAAAGCTGAAGCGAACTGCAGTCATGACTTGGGATGTGTATTCAAAACCCACTCCTTCGAACTGGAGAGAAGGTGTCTTCCTTTTTCTGCTCTGCCTAAGCATTGCACTCTCCATGGGGGGCCTGTTTCACACATGGCTGGTCTATAGTTTGCAATATGGATGGCTTCTTTCCAGTATTATGGCTGGGACTTGGGCTTTGTGTTCAGTCCTGCTTCTCTTCCTTGTCCACCCAGCTCGATGTGTGTTCACCATCATCGTGCCTTCTCTGGTCACCAAGCAAGGCCGTAAAATTCTCATTTCAACCGCTCTAATGATCGTAGCTGCCAACTGCATCCCGAACACGGCCTCCAATATTAATGCAGTAGTAGAGATGATCAAATGTGCTTCTGAGGAAACCACTGAAACAACCCTGAATTCCACAAATGAGCTGAGAAGCGCACTGTCCGATATTGAGAATTCGTTCAGTGCTGTGCCTTTTCCTCAAGAGAACAAAACAAACCTGCACCTCATGCAGGACTTTGACATTTCGGAGGTGAAAAACAATCTGAAAGAGCTCGCGACCCAAGTAAAAAAAGAATTCTCTGCAATCCAAAGCATTTTGCGGGAAACCTCGAACGTGACCAACAAGATTGTGGCGGCTCTCTTCCTGCTGTACTTGTTTGGAGCGTCAGTAGGATATTTAGTTAGGTACCTCACAGACCTGAAACACGACAATGTTTATGTGACACACAAGCTGCTGGAGCTAGCCGAGGAGCAAGGCCTGTCTGATATTCCCTCACATTACACAAAGAAGCTTGTCAGAACTACTGGCTGGAAAATGACAGGACAGGAGATGAGGAGAGGTCTGTGGGGCATCATGGTCCTCTCGTCCTATGGGTTAATATCGGCAGTGATAATTGGGCTCGACTACTTCATCTATTTCCTGCTGCAAGAACTTCTAACGTGGGCATCAGACATTCCCGACACCACATTTACTATAGATGTCGGCCTGAATGTGAGTATTCTCTGCTCTCTGTTTCTCTCACAATTGCAGAAGTGTTGTATAATAAGGCATTGTTTACTTCCCATAATGTTATGAATCTTTTGATTACCTAGGTCAAAAACAACAGGATGTAAGAGCAAATAACCATAAATGTTTATTTTCTCAATTGTTATTTCTGAATTCAACATTCATAGCAGCACTGGAGGACTGAAAACACAAGTTTAATGTCATTCCTGGACAAAAGTGTGAGATTTGATATTAATGTAATTACTGTATGTGCCTGTATAAGTGAAAATGTCAGCTCTTTAATTTTTTCCAACAGGGCCTTGTGATAGGAAGAAGTCTATTACTAATATTAGGCGATTTATGCAAAGACACTGGACACACAACTTCAGAGTTCAGAGTGTGAAAAAAAAAACATTTTATTCAGAAAGAATCTTATAACAGGGCCACAGCATTGTGGAAGAATTTAATAAAGTAATCCACGACAAAAGAAAACCCCTGTCTTTGACCAAGACTTGAATCTACACACAACTAACACAACAAACTAAAATAATACATAAACGCAACACGTATAGTAGAAGGGATCTTTGCGAATGAAGGGAACAGGAATACATATTGAACTGGCATGTCCGAGTGCAGTGATTTGTGAAACTAATTTTTTTTTTGTTATGCTCATTGCAACCGTGTTGCCTTCTGCTTTCCTTTCTTGTTCCTTAAGTTTTTCTGGGCTCTCAACGAAACCCGTCGGACTGATGTTTACACTATTGCTTTGCAAACTTATGGAAATGTCCAGCATTGGTCAAGAAAAAGAGCTGTTGAAACTCTGATGATACAAAGTTGTTTTGCGGCTAATTGCGTTGCGGTTTTATTTTATTTATTTACATTTTTTCCAGGTGGAACTCAAAAGTGACATTGTGACCGGACTAAATATTAAGATTAGCGATTATGTGCGTTATGAGAAAAAAAGCTACTCCTATTCAATACCGCTCCTGGCTCCTGACTGCGTGAAGACATTCTCTCGCCCCAACTCCTCCGCAGCGACCACCGTGGGCTCTCTCTATCTCACTGCCTTTATCATGCTGCTGGTGGACGTGTACGCCAGACGGGTTCGAAGAAAGATTTCCGCTTCCTTTTACAAGAAACGTGAAGAAGAGCGTATCTGCTACCTCTTAGAGAAGATTATGAAGAAAACATAGTTACAGCTCTGTCTTCCTGCCCGTGTAACTTCTGTTTCTAATCTGTATCTTGATTTTAATTTGCTAAAAAGTAAAAGATTTGTCAAAGTACCGCATTGCAGTACGGCACTCAATTTAATGTCTCGATGAAAAGCATCTTTCAGGAGATAAATCCAAACCCATGAAGTTATATACAATGCATAAGTGGCAATGGCCTTTATTATTTGCTTTTACTGTATATAGTGCTTTACATCGCTAGTTTCCTTGCAGAATCAGTTAATAAGTGCTGTGAAATAGATATATTTATTCAAATATCTCTAAGGCGTTTTTTCCCTAACTCAGCATTTTGTCCTTTATTTTAAATGTTTAAATGTGTTTCACGTGCTTTACATTGATAGATGTTTATTGTAAGATTTTTATTATTAAATGAGAAAATCAATACAATCTTGATGTTGTGTCTAAAGCCACAGAAGAATTAATGTGTTTTTCTTTTCCAGTTCATTTGACAGTAGATCTTGACAATGCATTTCTGAAACCGAACTTAAGGGAACTAATTCATGCCTGCAATTGAGAATATCAATCTGGTTTGTCTTCATGGGAATACTTATATTTTTCCAAACTCTTTCTGCAAGCAGGAAAGTACAATATTTTAAAGAAAGCAGCTTTGATTGACAAGGTACTTTTAATTCCATTGCTGCATTTCAGACACCATCATTCAAACAGTTTGTACCACAATGTTTAAAGGTTTGTGTAAGATAGATCAGTGCTTAGGAAGGTGGAAGAAGATAACACTTAGATGTGAAGAAATTTTGCTTAATGTGAACATCTAGGACATAATGAAAGATAGAGACTTAAACAATTTGTGGAATTTTTAAGAAAAAAAGCAATACAAACTAAGCTTGCACATGCCACAGCTTTTCACAAAATAAGATTTCAGTAGGTAACTACTTGTGGGATAGACAAAAGACTGAAATGCAGCGTAGGATGGTTTTAGTTACTGTATGAATGTACTCATAATCATAACTCAGCTATTTCTTTGTGTGTGCAATACACAAGATAAAAGAGGCAGGAGGCCTTTTGCTTGGCTGACAACTCAAGTCTTGTGGTTTCCCAATGTACTGTGAGGAAGTGAAAAAAATACTGTACTGCCTAGATAAGGAACGCCTTTGAGTAAAATAACAGCAGCCCTGCCTGTAAAGTGTGCTGCTAATTAAAGTGGCATTTCAAAGTCATCTGTCTTTTGGATTCTCATGGTCAAAGACGCATTGGAAAGAGAGGCATATTGCTAAGCTAAAGATTGTTTGAATTCACAGGAAACCTGCAACATCTCTGCTATTTTCGGATCACTTTGGGGTCTGGCTTTGAGTTGTGCAAGACAGAGCAATATCAGAGTGGAATGTAAGACATAATTCTGAAAGTGACTGACACTTTCATAGAGATTTGTACTACAATCTTCCTAATTAATATTATATGATAATATATTAAAATAGTTCAAGTAGGTAGCTGAGTTAGCATGCGTAGGCTGCAAAGGAACAAGTAAAGGTTTATTCCAAGCTGAAAAGAAAAGAAACACAGTGTTTCAACTGTGGAGCCTTCTTCAGGTGTGTGGGACTCCCCTCCACCAGTGTGCAGCCCCTCCTGGATGATGCGACGGCTGCCAAGGTGCTCCAGTACTCTCACCACACACCAGCTCTCAGCGCAGAGGACAACAGAGTGATGAACCCACTTCAGGGATGGGGATTATTAGGAGGCCATTAATGGTAAAGGCCAATGTTGGCCAGGACACCAGGGTAACGCCCCTACTCTTTTCAAGAAACACACTGGGATTTTAATGAGCACAGAGAATCAGGACCTCGGTTTTACATCACATCCCAAGGACAGCACTGGGGCATTAGGACCCACACAGACCACAAGGGGAGCACCCCCTACTGACCCCTCTAATACATCTTCCAGCAGCAACCTTAGTTTTCTCGGGAAATCACCCATCAAACCTGCTTAGCCCCAGTGGTTTGCTAGTTGTGAGATGCAGGGTGATATGGCTGCTGTCATGAGTTCACTAGGGACTAAGGTTGTTTATGGACAGTAGCTAGTTTGGTGGTGATGCCAATTAGGTACAGCCATGTGGCATTGACTTGTTGTCGTTATCCCTTTATTTTATTTATTTATTACTTTATTTAATAACTTCCATTTATTAACATAGTCAAATATGCAATCAATACTAAAATTAGACATTGTAGAGGCAGCAAACTAAATTCAAAATATTTTGATAGATCTGGCATATGACATTTATGTAGACAAGTGCTCAATACTGCATGTGGGTCACAATAATATAAACTACAAAGACAGAATGAGGAATGCCGACACGTCATTTATACTTTCTAATCAAGGTAAGAAAGGAATAAAAAGTCACCCCGAATTTTAGGATATAAATTAAAAGAGTAGAATTTAAAACAAGGGATGTTATGTTAAAATTGCACAAATCACAAGCATAACACCTCATTTTAAATATTGTCTATAGATCTGCTACCTGAGTTATAAAAAAAAGATACTGCTGTTGTGGAATCAGTCTAGAGAAGAGCAACAAGACTGCAGGTTCTAAATCTTTTCCGTCTTGAACACGGACAACTACGTGGAACTTGATCAAAACATTAAAAACCCTAAATAGCACTGACAAGGTCATCCCAGTGAACCTATTCAGTTTTAACAGTAAAATACAAGCATGACGTCACAAGTGGAAAGAACTGTAGAAGTCATTTAAACCCGAGGACAGGAGACACTTCTTCATGCACATGGTGTCACGGTTGTAGTCCCTCCCCCTTAATGGCGCTCCGCTTCTTTCACTTCGGACTTGTTTTTGTGCACCTGCCCCCTGTTCCAGCCTCCTTCCAGCCCACCTTAAAAGCCAGACGCCCACGCTGTTCCGGGCTCTGCATTGGTTTCCGTACCAGGCGAGTCTGGGACCGGTAGCGTCTGGTCCCGTTCCCCCTTTTTCCTCCCCGACCCTCCACCGGATCCCGCTCCGGTTTTTAATCCTGTTTGTCCTCGTCGTTTTTATTCCCTGTTCCTGTTCCGGATCCCGTTCTGGTTTTTAACCTTGTTTGTATGGTCTTGGATGGATCCCCCAGTTCCTGGACCCTGGACTGCGCCACGGATTTCATCCCTGGACTGTTTGGATTTGTCTCCCTGCGCTACTCCCCCCCAGCACAGGATCACCGTTGTCACACCCCCCCGTCTGTCAACCTGTCCTGATCCTCTACGTCTTTTCCCTGTTGTCCTTCTCCACTTACTTCCGGATTATACCATCTGCATAGGGTCCTAAACCACGCTTCAACATGAGGGAAAGGTGCTGATAGGCTAGGCTCTGGGTGGAGTTAGACACCCCTCTGGGTTAATTAAGAGGTCTAAACGAACAGCCAGGTGCGGAAAAAGTTTAATGCTGTGTTTAGTCTTCAATATAAACAGAAGGGAGTTGAGGAAGAAAAACAATGTCTAATGAGTAACAGACTGTGTTGGCTTTCTGGCCGATGCAGAAGGCCTGCTTGTGAAAATATAGCTTAGGCTGTACTGAGGGGTATCAAGGTGCTGGACAGGTGGGCTGTGCGGTCAGGCTCAGTGGGGTGGGCCATCGTAACCAGGTCGGACTGGAGGTGTGAGGATCTGGAGTCTGGGGATATTGACTAGCAAGGCTGCAGTGTCTTCTTCCTCACAGCTGAGAGAGGAGTCCAAGGTCTCCCTGCCTTTACCATCAGGAAACACTGGCAGGCTCAGAAAGAGCGGGAAACTGGGGAACTCCAAATTGCCTGTTGCCGTGGCAGCGGCGTGCGTGTTTGTTATAGAGAGGCATCTGTGGTCAAATAGCCCCATGCAAGAATGTGAATCCTAATGCCTTGCCAATAATATTATCAACTCATTGACATCTAGTGAAACCATGTAGAAGTAGGAGATGCCTTTATAGTGGCAGGTTGGAGGTTATTACAGTCTTTTTAAAGACTGGCCTGGCACATACCCTAATTAAAGAAAACAGACTAAATAATAGGCAGCTTTTGAAGGAAAAAATGTTACAGTAGATGGAAAGTTCAGTCATGAGAAGAATAAAATATCCAATGAACCTTTAAGACTAAATCAAAAACATACTGATTTTTTTTGTCTAACAGTTAAATGAAGCGTGACGTTTCCCAGCGTTGCCCTTTAACCAAAGGTGGTTTCTGACTACGCAGGTGTTTAGAGTTGATACTTGCGGTTGTATAACAGCTGCAGTTTCCAATGCCAACCAGTTCTGATGTCAAAAATGGCTGGGTTTCCTTGGCTACCAATCTGACATAGACAATGTTGTAAATATCAGACTTCTTTGTTATCAAAAATAAAAGAAAATTGCTTTAAGAATGGTCTGAAGATGGTAATATATATTATTTTTTTCTCAAAGTAGTTATTTTTTATTTACGCCACTGTGTTTCCTCTTCAGAAACTCCCACTTCCTGTTTATCCCGATACACTGATGGTGCTGCAGCTCTGGGTGCCGATGTATAGACCACAGGAAGAAACAACATTCGTAGCCGAATGGAAATGTTAATGAGTGACAACACCAAAGTGCCACATGTGTGAGACTAGACTGTATTTGCAAACTGTTTGAGGTTCAAGCCTTCTGAAATGCTCCTGTCAACATATTTTGGGCTGCTGAATGTGGAAATTAAAAACACAAGAAGACTTTCGTTGCTGAGTACCGTCTTCAGAGCTGTTACTCCAATCCCTGCTACTGAGGTTCGATTTACAGTGCTCCATCAACATCACACTGAGCAAAATAATGGTACTGGTGCCCTGATAAGGTATTGTTAATCAATGATGACATGTTTCCTCTAGGGAGTAGGGGAAGGGTCAGTTCTCTAGCCAGTGTACATATTGATTCATACAACCCATGAAATATCATGTGTGTTGGGAAGCACTGTTCATTTCTTTGCCTGAATTGAATGATAGCTGATCCTTGGAACATCAGTTATTCCACACAAGTAATTTAATTGAATTGGACCCTGTAACTTGGGCTCTTCAGTCAGAGAAAAGGTGGAATAGGAAGACAATGAGCTTTTAGTTTGCAGAGCATGCAGCCCTTGAGCACAACTGAACAAAAAGACATAATTTGCTCCCACATTCACTGTAATCTTCAGATGCTCTGTCTATTGTTTTGTGTTGTATTTCAATCCTGCCTAGAGGAGATACTGTAAAAATATAAAGCTACAGTATGCTGCTAGCTACAATTTGCCCTGAGCCTTTGTGTTGAAAGATAGTCTGAAGACAATCCTTCCTTCTGTACCATCGAGTAATAACCTCAACCAGACAAGCTAAACCAGTAGTGAGGCTTCCCCTGAGATGCAAGGAGTTGCAGTCAAGCATT